TTAACATCCAACATTGTTGAACACGTTAATGCATGGTTGAACATTTAAATGCATTGTTTATCATATAAATGCATTTCGTAACATGTCGATGCATTGAATCATGTGATACATTACTATGCATTATGCAATGATACACCATTCACCAAGTCACACAAAATTTAACATGAAAATTCAATTTTCAATGCTTTTGTATTTTACAACAAGGCATTAACATGACAAAATGTCACCACCTAAAACAATTTGGTCAATTTAAAGCAAGTTGGAAAATACCTTTTGACCTTAAGAAGGTTTGATTTGAACTTCTTAGAACATGAAGATGATTTTGAAAAAAAAATTCGTCAATTTGAAGCAAGTTGAAAAAATACCTCTTTGACTTTTTTTGACATTGAGAAGGTCATTGAAGGTCAAATGTCAAATGTAAAGTCAGATTTGAACTTCTGAGAACATGTAGATGATTTTGAAAAAAAAATTAAGTAAATTTGAAGCAAGTTGAAAAAAGAGCTTTTTGACCTTGAAAAGGTCATTGAAGGTCAAATGTCAAATCTAAAGTCAGATTTGAACTTCTGAGAACATGTAGATGATTTTGAAAAAAAAATTAGTCAATTTGAAGCAAGTTCAAAAAAGACCTTTTTGACCTTGAGAAGGTCATTGAAGGTCAAAGGTCAAATCTAAAGTCAGATTTGAACTTCTGAGAACTTGTAAAAGTCAAATTTGAACTTCTGAAAAGATGTAGATGATTTTGAAAAAAAAATTTGGTCAATTTAAAGCAAGTTGAAATCAGACCTTTTTGACCTTTTTTGACCTTGAGAAGGTCATTAAAGGTCAAATGTCAAATCTTAAGTCAGATTTGAATTTCTGAGAACATGTAGATGATTTTGAAAAAAAAATTAGTCAATTTGAAGCAAGTTGAAAAAAGACCTTTTTGACCTTTTTTGACCTTGAGAAGGTCATTGAAGGTCAAATGTCAAATCTAAAGTCATATTTGAATTTCTGAGAACATGTAGATGATTTTGAAAAAAAAATTTAGTTAATTTGAAGCAAGATGAAAAAAGACCTTTTTGACCTTTTTTGACATTGAGAAGGTCATTGAAGGTCAAATGTCAAATCTTAAGTCAGATTTGAATTTCTGAGAACATGTAGATGATTTTGAAAAAAAAATTAGTCAATTTGAAGCAAGTTGAAAAAAGACCTTTTTGACCTTTTTTGACTTTGAGAAGGTCATTGAAGGTCAAATGTCAAATCTTGAGTCAAATCTAAAGTCAGATTTGAATTTCTGAGAACACGTAGATGATTTTAAAAAAAATTTTTAGTCAATTTGAAGCAAGTTGAAATCAGACCTTTTTGACCTTTTTTGACCTTGAGAAGGTCATTAAAGGTCAAATGTCAAATCTTAAGTCAGATTTGAATTTCTGAGAACATGTAGATGATTTTGAAAAAAAAATTAGTCAATTTGAAGCAAGTTGAAAAAAGACCTTTTTGACCTTTTTTGACCTTGAGAAGGTCATTGAAGGTCAAATGTCAAATCTAAAGTCATATTTGAATTTCTGAGAACATGTAGATGATTTTGAAAAAAAAATTTAGTTAATTTGAAGCAAGATGAAAAAAGACCTTTTTGACCTTTTTTGACATTGAGAAGGTCATTGAAGGTCAAATGTCAAATCTTAAGTCAGATTTGAATTTCTGAGAACATGTAGATGATTTTGAAAAAAAAATTAGTCAATTTGAAGCAAGTTGAAAAAAGACCTTTTTGACCTTTTTTGACTTTGAGAAGGTCATTGAAGGTCAAATGTCAAATCTTGAGTCAAATCTAAAGTCAGATTTGAATTTCTGAGAACACGTAGATGATTTTAAAAAAATTTTTTAGTCAATTTGAAGCAAGTTGAAAACAGACCTTTTTGACCTTTTTTGACCTTGAGAAGGTCATTGAAGGTCAAATGTCAAATCTAAAGTCAGATTTGAATTTCTGAGAACATGTAGAAGATTTTGAAAAAAAAATTTAGTCAATTTGAAGCAAGTTGAAAAAAGACCTTTTTGACCTTTTTTGACTTTGAGAAGGTCATTGAAGGTCAAATGTCAAATCTAAAGTCAGATTTGAATTTCTGAGAACACGTAGATGATTTTGAAAAAAAAATTTAGTCAATTTGAAGCAAGTTGAAAACAGACCTTTTTGACCTTTTTTGACTTTGAGAAGGTCATTGAAGGTCAAATGTCAAATCTAAAGTCAAATCTAAAGTCAGATTTGAATTTCTGAGAACACGTAGATGATTTTGAAAAAAAAATTTAGTCAATTTGAAGCAAGTTGAAAACAGACCTTTTTGACCTTTTTTGACCTTGAGAAGGTCATTGAAGGTCAAATGTCAAATCTAAAGTCAGATTTGAAGGTCAAATGTCAAATCTAAAGTCAGATTTGAATTTCTGAGAACATGTAGATGATTTTGAAAAAAAATTTAGTCAATGTGAAGCAAGTTGAAAAAAGACCTTTTTGACCTTGAGAAGGTCATTGAAGGTCAAATGTCAAATCTAAAGTCAGATTTGAACTTCTGAGAACATGTAGATAATTTAGAAAAAAATTGAAGTCAGTCTAAACAGTATTTGTTAAGTTATAGGAAGTTGTAAGAAATTGTTACAGACGCCAACCGCCGGACGCCAACCACCAACCGCCGGACGCCGGACGCCAACCGCCGTCGCAAAAAAAACGGAGACCATAACAATATGTCACCACTTTTGGTGGTGACATAAAAATGATTTTCATCGATAATCATTGTACCCACATGTGATGCCAAAAATTCACGATTCCCTTTTCAACTGATGAAAACGCAAATTTTCCAAGTCACACATGAATGTGCAATTAATCATTTACATTACAGTACTAGTCTATACGGAGATGCATTGTATGGTATTTACCGGCACAATAATGGCATTTTGAAATTCTTTCACCCCAACCCTTTGACCAGAATGACTTTGTATACCAGAACATGACTACTTAGTCCTATCTATTTTTCCTGATCATAACAGATATCCAAGTTTTGAAAATGCCAGTTTTGAAATTGTTATTTCCATGGCAACACTGTATGTATTGATGACTGAAAATGTTGGGTTTTCTTAGAAATAAATTTAGGATAGGTTATACATCCCCACACCTTATTCACATAAAAACAACTGTCATATCCTGTCCCATTATACAAAGACATCCTGGTATATTAAACAATATACAATATAATAAATAACACTAGACTTACAAGATATCTACATGTAAATAGGGTTAGTACATACTCATTGCAAATAAATATTAAATTAATAAGAAGTCACCACAAGAAATGTTATCCCAATTTTATGATTTCCTCCCAACTTTGAATTTCTAAAGAAATATTCTCATATTGCTTTTTCCAGAATTTTTTATAGTTAAATTTCATTCTCTTAGATAGACAACTAGAACCCTAGCTCCATGTAGAGATGCCTGCGTGTTAAGGGTCTTCAGTTGAACTTTGACCTATGGGATTATTTCGTCCATGGGCTAGTTTGCTCAAGGGTAACTTCGACCTTGATTGATATTCAAAGCAGAAGCGGCCATCTTAGATTATGATCTCATTTGTTTGAAAAATTTAGAATTTTCCATGCTAAACAAGGCAAACTGTCAGAATTCAAAAATAATCCAAGGTCAAAAACCCCAATGGACAAAATAGCTCAAGGTCAAAATAACCCTTCAGGTCAAAATTTAACGGAAGCTCTTCTGAACTAATGAAATGAAGTGCAAATGCAATGGCTTCTTACCAATCTCTGATCAAAAACAATAACATTTTCTAGTCCTTAGAGTTGCCATGGAGCTGTTAGCATTACCATGGATACGATCAAAACCCCAACACACCATCAGTTTGCATGTGGTACCTTATCTTAGATTCTACACATGTTCAAAAGTAACTCTCCCGTTGAGCTGATTATAGTTCCAGCAAACTAATAGAATGATGAGGTCTTGATAGTATAAATGAGTTACATTTAGTATGGAAGATTCAAGTGATGTTAAAGGCCTTAACAGGCCATTGTTTAATAGGACTCAAGGGTCAATGCATTTGCATTCAATTTATCTACATAACTAAGAACATGTTTGTATCTCCAATACCTCAACAGATTTTATGTTACACCCTGTGTAATGTATGGTATATTATGTAACACCCTGTACAATGTGCAGTATTTTATGTAACACCCTGTACAATGTACAGTATGCCATGCTCAGAGAAGCCATAATGACGAACATATAAAACTTAGAAATTCTAAAATCGGAACAGTGGACAAAACCATATTTTCTAACTTGAACTATCGTGGCTTGCTTAATTTTCATAATCCTGACACCAAAAGGAAGGTATGAAGGAAGATATATGACATACAAACATGTAAAGAGACTAACACTAAATACTAAGACTTGCCTTACAAAAATAATTTAAGCTACACAGGCCTGAAAAGCCCAATCAAGTACATGATCTGTTTCATTCCCAATGATATCTTATTGTAATAATACTTCTAGAAACTGTGTCTTTGTTTTGCAAAATAGGGATAGCGATGTTGTAATGTTATCTCAACTACCCCTTACTCTTCTCCATATTTCAGATTATGTTTCAATTATTACTCTTATTCACGATATTTCAGATTATGTTTCAATTATTGAGAACCCACCTTTCAAATTAGAATACCATATCAGCTAAGAGGTCACAAAATTTTATTAATAAACTCAAATTTTAAAAAATCACATATATTCCACACGACATTGTACCATTGTAACAAAATAGCAAAACTACAAAATTGTATAAATTAATCACCAACAAAAACCAGTTTTCAGAATACATATCCACGTTTAGCCAATTTACATTCGATTCACGCTATGGTCCATTTTTGTAATTTTCTTTCATCATTCATATTTCTTTTGTTTAAATACCATATTCCTTCGTATGATTACAATCATATATCTTAAATTAAAATTCCTATTCATTTCCTCTTGACAGTTTCTTCAGTTTCTTAATCCTCTTGACAGTTTCTTGATCCTCTTGACAGTTTCTTAATCCTCTTGTTTGATTCATAGTGTTTCTGTTCACAGTAAAACAATTCAACTTTTATTTTTAACAGTTTCTAGGTTTCCTCAAATATCAATGTACTGGAGTGGCCAATCATCAGCTTGTGCAGGTATATCTGAAAGAATATGATTGATTGAAATAGTTTTTAAATACCAAAATGTCTTCCTAGAAGCATGATTGGTTAAAATTATTTCATAATATGCAAATTTCAATTACATGAGAACATGATTGGTTAAAATTGTTTCCTTATATGGAAACATCAACCTAAAAGTACTTGATTGGTTAAAAAAGTTTCTTAGTACCCAACGTTCCAACGGTATAAACATGGTATATTAAAATTATTTCCTAAAATGGAAATATCAACTTAGATATACATGCCTTGTTGAAATAGTTTCTCAATAACCGTTTATCAACTTAGAAACATCTTATTCACCTAATATGTAGCTAGACTAGATTAAATTCATTGATTGTGTTGATATTTACCTAATATGTAGCTAGACGAGACTAGATTCATTGATTGTGTTGATATTTACCTAATATGTAGCTAGACGAGACTAGATTCATTGATTGTGTTGATATTTACCTAATATGTAGCTAGACTAGACTAGATTCATTGATTGTGTTGATATTTACCTAATATGTAGCTAGACTAGACTAGATTCATTGATTGTGTTGATATTTACCTAATATGTAGCTAGACTAGACTAGATTCATTGATTGTGTTGATATTTACCTAATATGTAGCTAGACTAGACTAGATTCATTGATTGTGTTGATATTTACCTAATATGTAGCTAGACTAGACTAGATTCATTGATTGTGTTGATATTTACCTAATATGTAGCTAGACTAGACTAGATTCATTGTTGTTGATTGTGTTGATATTTACCCGATATGTAGCTTGACGAGACTAGATTCATTGATTGTGTTGATATTTACCTAATATGTAGCTAGACTAGACTAGATTCATTGATTGTGTTGATACTGCTGTGGAGCCATCTGTTGAGGTGCCTGTGTGTGAACTAAAATTATAAAAAATTGACACTGAAATAACATATAAAATTGACTGAAATTACACAAAACTGACAGTGAAAATAACACAAAATTTACATAGAAATTACACAAATCTTTTGGCCCACTCTGTACATTACACAAAGTAACCAGTCCTGATGATTTTCTTTGACTTTTCTTTTCTATGATTAAATTACACAAGATTCATAAATATGAACATACCATATATTTGCTCATGCTAATAATTTATCTTGGTAAATCATCCCATATCCTGTGCACAATGGTTTGAATTAGTAATTATGATAATACTATTGAAGATATTTAGTGGTTTCAGTAGTGGGTTGAATGTTTAACAAAATGTTAATAGTCTATTTCTTGAATTCTTAACATGCATATCTGCCAGTTTTTTAAATTGCCCAATTTCTTTTAATTCAATCAATGGGCAATACACCCAAAATACAATAAATATGCAATGACCAGGCACAATTTTGCCAAAGTGAAGTAAGCAAATCTTCAAAGTTTTTTATTTAAATATGGCTGGTTTTCTTCAGATGCATGACGAACATGCAAACTCAATGAAAACATACATCGGATTTTGAGTTATCTTTATATCTTAACTATATTTTAGTAGAATTAGTAAATTAAAAACAAAGGAACTCACAGAATTGTGGCTTCTCTATTTGACTTTCAAATGTTATTGAATTGATTCTCTAATCTTTAATGGAGTACCACATTAATCAAATCTCTCTTTTGAAGATCTTAATTGCTATTTTATTCATAGCTCCACTTGCACATAAACATATCACAAATTTTACTGAATTTCTATGTATTTTAGGGGTTATTTCTTTTCAAGAATATTGTATCATTAGTGTTTCAAAGGGATTCTGGGTCAAGTTAGTAGTATATTAAGAGAGGGGAATATCCCAGAATTCTTAGATGAACCAATCTCCATATAAAGAGGTTGCTTTTTTCATGGCTAGTTTCACCTAAGAATTCTGGGATATGCCCTCCTCTTTAGTATATGCTGATGGGAGAAGTAATGGATCCCTTACCCCTGACAATTGTCCCTAATAAAGCAAGATAGAAATTATTTGTTTTTCATCTCTGTAACATCCTAAATTGGGTGAAAGTTTATAATATAAACTGGAATTTAAATATGTAACACCCTAAATTGGGTGAAAGTTTATAATATAAACTGAAATTTAAATATGTAACACCCTAAATTGGGTGAAAGTTTATAATATAAACTGAAATTTAAATATGTAACACCCTAAATTGGGTGAAAGTTTATAATATAAACTGAAATTTAAATATGTAACACCCTAAATTGGGTGAAAGTTTATAATATAAACTGAAATTTAAATATGTAACACCCTAAATTGGGTGAAAGTTTATAATATAAACTGAAATTTAAATATGTAACACCCTAAATTGGGTGAAAGTTTATAATATAAACTGAAATTTAAATATGAAACACCCTAAATTGGGTGAAAGTTTATAATATAAACTGAAATTTAAATATGTAACACCCTAAATTGGGTGAAAGTTTATAATATAAACTGAAATTTAAATATGTAACACCCTAAATTGGGTGAAAGTTTATAATATAAACTGAAATTTAAATATGTAACACCCTAAATTGGGTGAAAGTTTATAATATAAACTGAAATTTAAATTTGAAACACCCTAAATTGGGAATTCATAATCAGTAAAAATTCATGAAACATGTAACACCCTTAATTGGGTGAAAGATATAAAAAGAATTAAAGAATTTTTTTTATAAATATGTAACACACTAAATTGATTGAGTTGAAATTTCATAAAATATGTAACACCCTAAATTGGGCGAAAGATAATAAAAGACTGAATTTCTATAAAACAAAATGTAAATGAAACAAAAGCATACCTTGTTGGTGAATGGAGTAATGCATCTGGGGGTGAACATTTGACGCAGTTGACGTCATAATGCCCTGGGGATGGGCAACCATAGTATGCTGTGTGGGTGGGGCCATTGTTGCTTGACTATGTCCTATAGACACAAACAAATAAACATACACAAACAATAAATCATTCATAGGTTAGGTGTGTAAAAACATTTTATAAATGTGTGTAAAACGTGTGTAAAACGTTTTACAGCCAGAAAAAATGGATGAAATCCTTGTCACAAAGTTATCTGTCCCTACTATCATTTCATGAGTTTAGGTAGTTGGCATGTAATTCGTTCCTCACTGGATTATGTCTATACTATATATGTTGAATAAATGATTTTATAAATAAAAAAATATGGTTACCTTGCATGTTGACCTGTTGGGGGTTAAACTGATGTGCGGGTTGTGGGGGTGGTTGATGTTGCTGGGGGGTCGGTTGTTGCAATTGTTGGGGAGTGGGGGGCATCATCACGATTTGCGGAGTTTGCGCATGTGGCGTTGACGTCTGCTGGGGATTAGTGTGCCCCGTATGGGCCATTGTCATCTGTGGTGCCATCTGTTGTTGGGGAGGTTGTTGTTGGTACGTCGCAAAATTATAACCCTGGCTGTTGTGGATTGAGTGTGGTGACGTCGGCGTGTTGGGGCTGGGTTGTAATGATGGTGCCTGGGGGTGAGCCTGAGGGTTAGGGATGTGTTGAGTGGGGTGCTGTTGGTGTTGTTGGGGTATATGCTGTTGTTGAGGTGGGCCGGGTTGATACATCAACTGGGGAGTGCCCGATTGGGGCGGTGGACCCTGGGGCTGGACATGTACAGGGCTGGGGGAGGGGTGGGGAGGCTGGCCAGGGATGTGTTGAGCCCCCTGCTGATGTTGGCTCCCCTGGGGGTTAGGCAAGTGTGCTGGCTGTGGGTGCATCTGCACGTGTGTTGGTATTCCACCCTGTGGGACTGAAACACAAACAACAACATGTTGAGTTAATAAAAGGCTGTGGATGCATCTGCACGTGAGTTGGTATTCCACCCTGTGGGACTGAAACACAAAATAAGATGTTGAATTAACAAAAGGTTCATTTCGAAAAATATTCATTGTATAAAAATATTCATTGTATAATCACATTAATTCATTCTTTTATGCCTATAGTGCTTTATACGTGTATTTAATTTGCAATGTGATCCTTTATTTCTATAGAAGGTGGAATTAAAGGGTTTACATTCATAGGGGCTGTGTGACCAATTGTTACAGATGCTGATGCCAAATGCTTGTTACAGAAAATAGTGGCTAGAACAATCTAAAATTTCATAACCTCCCATTTGTTACAGATGCCGAATACCAAACACAAATACCAAACACAATCCACAAAAAAAAAGATGGAGACTATAACAATATGTTTATCACTTGTGATAATTGATATAATTGTGACAGTCCAACATACTGAGGGACTTACTGTAATACTGGGTAGGTTGTTGCTGTGTCTGTTGTATCTGTTGCTGCTGTGACTGCTGTTGCTGCTGTTGTGTTTGTTGGGATTCTCCATTACTCTGCTGCTGTTGCTGTTGTTGCTGCTGTTGCTGTTGTTGGACAAACTGAGGCATGAGTTGTGCTGCCAGAGGCATCCTCACGTTACTGCCCTAAAAGTGTACAAAAAACACAATTTTTAATTACATTTTGGAGTATCATTTTGGCTATGGTACTGAATTGTACTGTAAAATATGGTACCATAGACCAAAACAGTACCATATGGTAATGTGAACACTGCACGGCATGGCACCATATTAAAATGGTACTTTATGGTACCATACTCTTAATGTACCCTACGGTACCATGATTTCAGAGTGCGGAATGGGGATTTTTTCAAACAGATCCCCAGCCAGATATTTTCCTTTGTTAGAGATTCATATTAGTCCTCCAGCTAATGGGTTATTGGCACTATCACTTGGCCCTGGGTTTGATTCCCGGTTCAAGCAAAATTTGTTTGTGCATTATATTATTCAGGTTGTGGCTCTTCCAAGGAGGGGTTTCTGGCTCTATCTTTAAGTGTAAAATACATAAAATACGGAACATACCAATGAGTATTTGTTGCATATACAGTATTTAAAAAAATTGAATACATTGAAAGATCATAATTATTGAAACTGAAATTGAAAAATTCATGAAAAACAAATAAGATAATCTTTTTTCATAATATGGAGTGTATGCATGTACATACCATGTTATATAGAATTGTTGGAACACCCTGGGGCTGTCCTTGTACAGGGTTACCCAACACAATAGGTTGCCCCGTCACATTAGCAGGATTCTGACTAAAGTTGGATGTCGGATTCACTGAAACCACAGCAGCTACAAACAAGAGAAATATAAGTCAATGTTATCAAAATGTCAAACTGAAAATGTGAATATTATATAATGTAATTCAGTATATTTTGTGCTATGTTAATGTGAAAGAGGGGATGAGTCTTACTTTTTCCAGGTCTGGGGAAGCGCTGCTGCTGAGGCTGTTGCTGGGGCTGAATAATGTAGTTCATGTTCATCGGCTGCAAAATAGGAATGAAAATTTATTGAAGTTTTATCCCATACTTTTTACATGTTTCAGGTACATTAAGCAGATTAGTAAATAGCTGTATTTTCATCAGTGGGCAGATATAGTTTTACGACCGAAAACTGAGCCGGCAGATATAATATTTAAGACCGCAGTTCATATGTTGGTGCATTTTTTTTGTACCGTTTGCATAATTACTGTGAGTAGCAATGGCAAAAAACAAGGGAATGACCATACTTATCCCTGTTAACAATCAAAGATTCGAGAATATAATCTGAAAGAACAGGAAAATCCTGTTACGGCCAAGAAAACTGGACATATATCCACCCTCGAGACCTACAGCCCTCGGGCAGATATATTATATTGGCCTCGGGATAATCCCAATATCCTGAACCTCATAATACAAATATATGTATTATAATGTGTAACAGTACTACAGACTTACTTGATATGGCATAGTAGGGAACTGTGGCTGGGGTTGTATAACTGGGCTCTGTGTCTGTGGCCTTGGGGGTGTGGGAACAGGATTATACTCTTGTTTCTGAAAAACACACAAAATAGATTAATTCACGTTAACTCACTGCATGCATGGACTTGCATTTGTACATGTATGCTAAATGCATTGCATCAAAATAGATTGCCTTGTTTCCTTTTATTTATTTTGGTTTATCCAAATTCACACTGGATATCATCAGCTCCAAAATAAGTAAGAGTACTATTGACTGTGCCTGTCAAATTCACTTATCAATTTTTGAGTAACTTTTTCCTCATTTTCTCCATGTTAACATGGGTCATATTAGCATCTGGACAGACCAACAAGCACATTACAGAAAGCACTTAGAAAGGCACATCAAAGGTTAAAACTGCATCTTCAAAAATGAGTTCAATGATTTTCTATAAATCCCAACCACCCTTTGGTTGGGATTGCACCAAACTGGACTTAATTACATGAGGTACATGGATATATATGTAAATGGGCTATGAAAATCCCATGTTTGGAGTTCTACATTACATGAGTTACATGGAAATAGATGTAAATGGGCTATGAAAATGCCATATTTGGAGTTCTACATAACATGAGTTACATGGACACATATGTAAATGGCAATATTTGGAGTTACATAAACTCTGGATATCAAACAACACAAAAAGGTACTTACTGGTATGAATGGTTTGGCCGTGGGGTTGAAGACAAATTCCTTTGCATTTGGATTTAGGGTTGAGTGTTTCACAGACCTGAAAAATATAACAATACATGGAGTTTCAGACCTGAAATATAGAAATACACCTGAAAAATATAACAATACATACATGTAGTTCCAGACCTGAAATATAGAAATACACCTGAACCAAAACTATATGAATGCCATCGATAGTTCAAATTCTGTTTTTAGAAAGTTTTAGTTTATTAATAGAAATTCATATTGTAGAATCAATGTTAATTTTTTTCAACAGATTTTCAATATTTGCAAAATGTTAGCAATCATTTGTAACCAAGTTGGTCTGTATATACTATTCAGAGTGATCAAGAAGTTAGACCAAAGACACCAAAGACACTTCAATACCACTAAACAATCATCTTGGATCTTGGTACTAGATGTTCTTTAATCATTTCTGAGCTACTATCTCGAGATTAATGAATTGAGTATTTGACTGGACAAAATCATGGTTGTTATGGTAACCCAATGTGACATCACACATATCTATATACAACACTTACTCTACTTCTTCAGTCTTTTCTGAATCTTGTTGTCTTTGGGTGTCTTCTTGTCTTAGCTCTTCTCCAGTGTGAGACTGTAATGTAATATATATTGGCTTAAGCTACTTAAAGTCTAGCAAGTTCTTTAATTATGTAGAACATTGGAAACAAATGTGTAAACTTCAAACATTACATCTCATACCTTATTTTAACCTTATGTTAATATACCAGATATATTTATTACATAAACTATAAGCAAGGGCTGTTTAAATAACATACAGATATTTTAATCTGGTGTCAAGCCCTTGGTGAAAGACAAATAATATGTCATGTTACACATGGAGAGATTCAAGATATCCTTCATGAATAAAATACTAAGTTATGTTATACCTGTTGTGTCTGTTGTTGTTGCTGTTCTATGTATTGTTGCTGTGCTTGTTGTGGCTGTTCTGTATGGTCTTGTTGTAATTGTTGCTGCTGCTGCTGTTGTTGCTGTTGAATTTGAGGGTCTTCTTTTAGAGGAGTTTCTTTTTCTTTTGTCTGAAAATTACAAGTTGGGTCATTTAAGTTTTTCAAAAGTATTTAGCTCATACTATTCTGTCCTCAATCATATTCTTGAATTGGGGATTCTCATGTGTTAGTGTTCTTAGCATAAACACTGAAGCTGAACAGTTATTTAAGCTAAAAAACTATATACCGTGATGTGCACGCTTGATGTGTCAAATGTTTTCGTTTTGATTTTTAATCGCAAGCTTAACCTCCCCAATATCTGATCAATGTGTAAATATATTTATTAAAAAAAGTTTCAAATTCATTGAAATTCTTACAAACTTCTGACCAAAGTATGACATGTATAAGTTACTTTTGATGGAATTTAAACTATTCACCTTTTTTTCTCTCTCAGATTTTGTATCTGATAATTTAAAGGTCTCCTGGAAACTTCTCAACTCCTGGATCTGCTGGTTTCGGGCTAAGAAGACATCATAAATATTACAAAATGCAATTTTTCTGAATCAAAGATTTCATAACAGGGGGTGTAATCATTCTTTTATGGGTCATGTTATATAACAAAAATTACTTGAGTATTCAGTACTAACACTTTAAATGAACCAATTATTGTAAATATGAACCAGTATGGATCCCTTCAATATGGATGAGTATTAGTTCAGACCAAAGTCAGTTTCTGTTTGCACAATTATTGTGGGAGGGGACTTGATGACTAATGAGATAAATACCTTTTTTATTTATATCTGGACTTGTGTCTTTATTATTAGGTCTTTTATCTTCATTTTTTAAATCACTGTTAGCGGCTGCAGCAGCTACTTTCTCTGGACTATTGCCTAGTTTTTCTTCAATATTTGAATCTGAAAAACAAGTTTACAATTTAGAATGCTTCCTGTTGAAATCTGAAAAAAACAAATTGAATATTCCTTAGTAAGAATTGAAAGAAATAGAATTTTCTGCCACAATGAAAAAAACAAACATTTTTTTTTATTAATTAATCATATTCTGTGGCTTTGCCTTTTGGCAGTATTGACATTAACATATATGAACTACACAAGAGAAAGACAAGATCAGATTTGTATTTTTGGTTAAGTTAGCAGTGTTCTCCACAAGATTTTTTTCTTAAGTGGGTGCAAAATTCTCATTTTCATAAATCAGTCCAAAATTGGTCAGAATGCCTGTTTTTCATGATTCGTAACATTTTCAAGTGGGTGCAAAAGGATTTTCAGGTGGCTGCAAGCCTTTTTTTAAAATCTCGGGTGGGTGCTGCACCCACTTGCTTTAATGCTGGGGAGATCAATGGTTAGTGTTTATAGTTTAGATATGTAGTTTATTTGTGGATAATGGGGTCTTTCATATAAAAAAACTTAAAACTCACCAACTCCTCCATTGATTTGCTTTCTTGTATCTACAAGTGGTTTATTTGGAGATCCCTGGGGTGGGGACGGGGTAGAGCCTGACCCTGGCACACGTGGAATAGCGCGACCATGAGCCACTGATTTTCGTAAATGGGGAGGTACGTATCTGAAAGATTGAATAATGGAGGACAATTAAATAATACAGTTTTGGTTTAACTCTTTGGCATGGAAATTTTTTTTATTTGAAAAGTAATTAATTAAATGAAAATTGCACCATTAAATGGTCTCTTCCCAAATTTTGTTTTATTTTACTTTTACATAATGAATCATACTTATATAATTTTAATCTGTATTTTTATTTTTTATTGTATAATTTTTATTAACTTGTTCAAGTATTTGTGACAACATTATTTAAGCATGAATCTGAATCTGAATCTGAAGTGACATACTTTCCCTCTATAACAGCGCCCCCTGTAGGAGCACCTCCCTCTGTATTTTCTCCGTCACGGATGACAGCACTATATAACATTTCTTCGTCACCATTTTCTAAATTTAATCGATGCTTTGACGATTCATCCCGTTCGATTTCAGCAGCGAGCCTGGCAGCATTCCGCTCTCTTTCTTTGTATTCTGCTGTATTTTTTCTGTCAAGCGGAGTACTGGAAAATAAAATAAAAAAAGTTCCCTCTTTGAAATAATTTACTATCATTAAAACCTAGTTTTAAATTCTTGAGCAATTTTGCTTACCAAATCTGATTTTTTTAAGAAGCATTCTTGGCCAATGAACAGTGATAAGTATGTTAGATCTTTTAGAACTTTAAGATGTTGGACGTATTATAGATGTCACTTAGTATGTCTATTTTGAAGATGAAATAAAAATGCAATTGATGCGTAGATTTTGTGTGAGGCTGGGATGTACGTAATTAACCAAATTCTGAGGTAAATCATATGGAACTATCCAACTGCAAAAACAAGATACTGCTAAACATAGAATATAAATACTCCCAGCGTAATTGAATTCTAACTTACGTGTATTGCGCTAGTGATGAATCATATGACGATTCCACTTGAAATTTTTCATTATTTACTCTGAACATTTCATTAGGGTCCCAGCCATTCTGAAAAGAAATCATTTCCATAAGTTGTTTCTCTAGAACTACAACAAAATCTCAAGCAATCCATCATGAACAGTAAACTTGTTATCTGAACACCTCGAAATTTGAAAACTATATCCAGTCCAAATTTATTTTAAAAGTCTCAAAATGTGAACACTTGCCAACCTGAACACTTTTGGCTTGCTCCAGTTGTGTTCAGATTAGACAGGTTTTTGGTCCTATTGCCTGCCTTCTTACTTGGCACATTAAGCCACTTTTCTTTGACATTATCAATGAATACTGTGCACAATATATTTTATTAAATTATTTTTTTTGCAAGTGATATACAAGTACATCTCCAATCACACTTGGAGATTCATAGGAGAGGAATGCAAAAGGCCTGTTGTGGTCTAGCACTGGGAGAGTGGGTTGGGGCCAGTGTGTGATAAAGAAATAGTCAATATTCACATTCACCCTTCAGGGACAGTGGCTGTTAATAGCAGGTGATACAGATGAAATTGTATCACAAGGAGGGAAAATCAAGGAAATATCTACATCAGATCCGTTGAAATTTCACAATCATTGATAAATATATACCTCATATAATATAACTTGCATAGCAAAAGCTGATACATACCTGGCCCGATGACCTCCCATCTTCTAGATCTAGTTCCATGCCACCTGCATCTGCCTCCCATGGCTGCAGCTCCTTCTCTAGTTCTCCATTGAGATTATGTTTGCCAGATATAGCGGTGTCTGTGAAGGTATCTACAATTATAAATAAATACACAATTTTATCATAGTTTTTATCCTTTTGTCTGTTGCTTAGGAGAGGTTTGGAGAAACTTAACATAATTTAATATATTGAAATGTCTTACTAGATAAATGTGCATGTTCTTTCAGATGGTTTGAATCAGTCCTGCATTAAGACTGTGCCCTCCCCCCATCCACTTCTCTCCTCTTGTGGAGGATGTTTCATTTGGAGGGGAGGGGGCACAAGGGCTTAGCAAGACTAGGAATGAAGAAAACAAGATAACTAATAATATGTCACTAGATTAAATAGAATGTTGCATTTCTTCAAAATCTCCTTGTTGACATCAGCAAACTAAATGCTGTTTTTATACCTGGTGACCCAGGAAGTTTCGACACTTTCTTTAGCTGTATTAACTCTTGCATTGTGAACATTTTTAGTTTAGTTTCATAAATACCTCATTTACTTTATCGTTTCATTTAGACATTCATATTTGAAGACATTTCATTAGAAGTTATTTGTTCCATGTCGTTAGTTTAATCAATTTGAACACTAAGTGATAATACTTCAACAAAAGCTCTGCAGCGTGTAGCTCATTTTATTCAATTTAATTCAAACGTACCTTTTATTCAATTCAATTCAAACATACCTTTTATTCAATTCAATTCAAACATACCTTTTATTGCATAATCGAGATCGACATTCAGGGCAGTAAGCATTGTGATGTCATGAAGATTGAATATCACTTTTTCAACGATGCGTTCTTGTGGGGGTACAGAATTTAATGTTTGTCCCGCCTCTACTACGTGTGCCATTTCTAGGACCACTTCCATCTGGAAAATATACAAATATAATATATATTGAAACCTGTTTACAGAGATCACGGTAGACGTTCGCCATTCGCCAATTGCGAATTTTCGAAAGAGGTGGCGAAAAATATGTAAAGGTATTTCGCAGTTATGGCGAATTAGAGGTGTCACGGTTTCCCGATATTGGACCGAATTTCGGTCCAGATGCTTCGGTTCGGGACATGGGACAGAAAGGGTTAATATCGGTACGTAGATTCCTTTCCTAAAATGCATAAAAACGTGTATAAATAGCGAGGAACACCTCCGATTTCGTTCTGAAAAATTAAATATTTTCACTAACCTCGTACCTAGATTACACTTCTTTGCATTGAAAAGTGTTATTAACGGACCCGCGATTTCAGGTAGATGGTAATGCTTGTTCGTAAATTTCTTCATCGTCGTTCGCAAATCGAGTGCATTATCAGTATGCCGGATGTAGGAAAGAAATTGAAAAATCGAGCCGGCATCTAAGTCGAAAAAGTCGGCAGTTTGGAAGTATTTTGGGACTCCGATATCACAAGGTAAACGAGTTGGTGAAATTACACCGTGCAGACTATGTGAAATGCCGATCACATTCGCGGCAGATGCTTTACATTCAATTTCAATTGACGTTTTTTTATTTCTGAAAATGATTTTGAAAAGTGAAACTGAAAGTGAAGCTGTCATCATCAGACATTGCATCATTTTTAATGTTCTGTCCCGTCCCGTCCCGAAAGTAACGTGTCGAGACAATTTGTACCGTTCCGTACCGTACCGAAATTTTCATAGACCGTGACACCTCTATTGCGAATTCCCTTTTTTACGGTTTTTCAAAATGGCTAATTCATATTTTAGTTGGCTAAATAATTTTTGGAAGATTTAGCCACAATGGCTAACAAGTTTTTTCAACTATCGTGATCTCTGCTGTTTATCTGAACATCTCTCTAATCTGAACAACTATAAATGAGCCAGGCCACGGGAAAAGGGGTCTTATCACAGATTTTTTCAATATTCTGATTTTTTGTCTATCTTAGAAAGCACAAAGAGACCTTTCAAATGAGCCATGTCTTATGTCTTAACAATTTTTCCTTGCATAAATAGACCAAAAAGTCGGATTTGAATTTAGCACATTTTCCTCTTAATTTTGGGTATATTTTTGGCTCTGTAGCACAATTTTCATTTTTTGTGATAAGACCGGTTTTCCTATGGCCAGGCTCAAATATAATATATAGTGAAACCTGTATATCAGAACACCTCTCTAATCTGAACAACTCTAAATATAATATATAGTGAAACCTGTATATATGAACACCTCTCTAATCCGAACACCTCTAAATATAATATATAGTGAAACCTGTATATCAGAACACCTCTCTAATCTGAACAACTCTAAATATAACCAGTGAAACCTGTATATCTAAACACCTCTCTAATCCGAACACCTCTAAATATAATATATAGTGAAACCTGTATATCTGAACACCTCTCTAATCTGAACACCTCTAAATATAACCAGTGAAACCTGTATATCTAAACACCTCTCTAATCCGAACACCTCTAAATATAATATATAGTGAAACCTGTATATCAGAACACCTCTCTAATCTGAACAACTCTAAATATAACCAGTGAAACCTGTATATCTAAACACCTCTCTAATCCGAACACCTCTAAATATAATATTTAGTGAAACCTGTATATCAGAACACCTCTCTAATCTGAACAACTCTAAATATAACCAGTGAAACCTGTATATCTAAACACCTCTCTAATCCGAACACCTCTAAATATAATATATAGTGAAACCTGTATATCTGAACACCTCTCTAATCTGAACACCTCTAAATATAATATATAGTGAAACCTGTATATCTAAACACCTCTCTAATCCGAACACCTCTAAATATAATATATAGTGAAACCTGTATATCAGAACACCTCTAAATATAATATATAGTGAAGCCTATATATCTGAACACCTCTCTAATCTGAACACCTCTAAATATAATATATAGTGAAACCTGTATATCTGAACACCTCTCTAATCTGAACACTTCTAAACATAATATATAGTGAACCCTGTATATCTGAACACCTCTCTAATCTGAACACCTCTAAATATAATAAATTGAAGCCTGTATATCTGAACACCTCTCTAATCCGAACACCTCTAAATATAATATATAGTGAAACATGTATGTCTGAACACCTCTAAATATAATATATAGTGAAGCCTATATATCTGAACACCTCTCTAATCCGAACCATTCTCAATGTGAACACTTTCTCAGTCCCAAAATTTGAACTCCCACTGACTCACATATTTAAAGAAATGTGAACATCGGCTAATCTGGACACTTTTGGTTGGTCCCAGTTGGGTTCAGTTTAGACTATATATCAATCACACACACAATATGCAAGAATTTTCATCTAATATGACATGCAAAAAGAACTCTATCGATCTAATATGAAACAATTATTACATTAAAACACAATCATTGTGTCAGTCAGTGTGATATTAAACACAATTATATAATTTGTCAATATGTATAGTGTAGATGGTGAATAACTTGTAAAGTTAGATAATTGTAGTTATATGTACTTGCAATCTGAACCAGAACAACGGCAACGCCAAAGCGTAGCGAATCCCATCGAACAACCATGGATGGCATTTTTACAAACAAAGGATATAGCAAAAATGGCAGCCATTTTTCAAAATGGCCGCCTTCTACCAAAAGTGTCATTAGACCATGTGCCATCCTTATAGTATTCACATACCAAATATGAACAGAATCGCTCCACTACTTTTCAAGTTATAGTAAAATACGTTAAAATGGCAGCCATTTTTCAAAATGGCCACCTTCTACCAAAAGTGCCATTAGACAGTCTTCCAAGCTTATAGTATTCACATACCAAATATTAACAAAATCGCTCCACTACTTTTCGAGCTATAGTAAAATACATTAAAATGGTGGCCATTTTGAAAAATGACCGCCTTCTACCAAAAGTGTCATTAGACAGTGTGCCATGCTTACAGTATTCACATACCAAATATGAACAAAATCGCTTCACTATTTTTCGAGTTATAGTAAAATACGTTAAAATGGCGGCCATTTTTCAAAATGGCCGCCTTCTACTAAAAGTGTCTTTAGACAGTGTGCAATGTTTATAGTATTCACATACCAAATATGAACAAAATCGCTCCACTACTTTTCGAGTTAAAGCAAAAATCGCAAAATAACGAGTAAAGACCGCCATTTTTCAAGATGGCTGCCATGTGCTTCTTTAATATCTACATTTCTAGCTTTATTAATGTCCTATATAATCTTTTTTACATCTAAAACATATTGCTATTACAGTTTTACATATTGCACCTAAATTACTGTAAATTCGGCACTAAAATGGCCGCCATTTTGAAATGAGCGGCCATTTTGAAAATCAGCTTTCGAGCAGAACTTCTTCCCCCATAGGGTATATGTGTACAAAATATGAACAAAATCGGGCCAACGGTATTTGAGTTATTGCCCGGACGGACGTACGTACGTACGTACGTACGTACGGACGGACGGAGGCGTTCCCTATATCCCTCCGAACTTCGTTCGATGGGATAATTATTTTAAGCTATGGGGAATCGTTCCACCCAAATCTATACAGACATTTGTGACAAGAAACTGCTTAGATGTAATTTGATGATATGACCTAACTCAAAATATGAAATGTATGACAAGATATGATTTGAAGTGCAATACAGTATGTATTCTGCTTGAGAATTCCGTATTAGAACGAGACGAAGTGACAAGTGACAATGATAAATATCATACTTGAAATACAAATTACCCAGCATGCCTATAAACCTAAACAGATCTTTGGAGCAGGTCTCAGTTTTGGATTTTTTTCCGCGCATGAGCGCAAATTTTTTTTATGTTTGAAATGTGGGGCCCATCCCCTTGCTAGCTTCTGGATCCGCCGCCAGCGGGCTGGATAATGTAAACTGTGCAGGTAATATAGACTGGATGTCATAAAACACTATTAATTAACAGGAGACCGCAGTGCTAATAAATAACAGATTTAATGTCAGGTGGAAGGACCGACTAGTCAATGTACATTAAATGTGCTGGTTCTAAATAGTAATAATACTTCATTGCATTATTAAATTGCTGCAAATGTAAAAATGTACAATGATGTGAAGGATCAGGTTGGTAAAACTGGATCATCAATGTCAATGTTATGTCAATTAAATATAAAAATAAAAGCTTGCATTTTCAATTACTAGTGTTATGCATTCCCATTTCCCATGGTACAAAATAAAACACAAATCCACACAGTTTATATAGTAAGCCCTAGAAATGAGCCCTCCATTCATTTCCACTGGCCCAATAATTGTTTTCTTGTTACTAGGCATTAGACTACTCCTCCCTATATAACAATATATGTGAATGATGAGGTCAACCTAACCTGACATGTCAATTTCCAGGAATTAAAAGCTTATGTTTAAGTAAATCACAATGTCATTACTAACAACAAGCTTTCTTAACAACAGAGGTCTGTAAAATTGTTAATTCTTTTTAGACAGTTCGCAATGAATAAAATAACTGAGAATTTTTTTATGAAAAATCTGTTTTAAAAATGATAAGAAAGATGATACAAGAGCTCTAAAAAACATTCATGTATTCAAAGAACAATCCCAATGTAATATACCACATTGACCATATGTGAATTTTTTGATGTTAAGAATAGATCTGATAAGTCCACATTTTTCTTGAATAGATGTACCCTAGTACCTTTCATATAGCAGTACTAACTAGACTCTGAGCACAACAAATGATATATAAAAATGATAGCAAAGATGACACAAGTGCTTTTCTTGAAAATAAGTACCCTGGTTCCTTTCATATAGCAGTACTAACTAGACTCTGAGCACAACAAATGATAACAAGAACACAAATGTGTACAAAATGTCCCCACATATTGGTGATCCCATCAAATGGTTATCCTAAAAATGAGTAGACAAGACTTTACTGACACAATTTGAGGACGGAAAATCCAAAATGGCTGCCTTAAAATTTACCCAGAATGCCAAAAAATTAGTCAGTTCTAGATTTTCATACTAAGAACCACCCCTGAAAATTTGAAATTGATCCGTCACACAGTTAACCCAAAAACATGTAAACAAGACTTTACAGACAAGATTTGAGGACAGAAAATCCAAAATGGCTGCCTTGACATTTATCCAGAATGCCCAAAAACTAATCAGATCTAGATTTCCATACTAAGAATCATCCCTGAAAATTTGAAATTGATCTACCAAACAGTTCACCTAAAACCGCTTAGACAAGACTTTACGGGCAAGATTTTAAGACGGAAAATCCCAAATGGCTGCCTTGACATTTATCCAGAATGCCCAAAAACTAATCAGATCTAGATTTTCATACTGAGAATCATCCCTGAAAATTTGAAATTGATCTACCAAACGGTTGACATGAAAACGCGTAGACAAGACTTTATAGACAAGATTTTTGGACGGAAAAATCCAAAATGGCCGACAATAAAAAAGTGATTATGAGTTTTTGCTGATTTCTTTTTACAAAATTATCACATATAACTACTGTTAACAATAACATAGGCTTTTACAACAAAGTACACCTGAAATTATTTATAAAGCTAAGAAATAGTTTAAGTATGAAAACTGAAAAACACCATTCAATATGATACAAAGTATTATCGTGCGCTAACTTTTCTTAAAACATTCAAAATGGCTGACATGACTGAGCTAACAGGTCCAAAACCTAATCAGATCTAGAATGAAGTGAGCTGAACAAGATATTAAAGTTTTAAAAGCAACTGTGAAGCCGTTTTTCTTAAAGTTTGCAGACAAGGATTTTAGCATTTGACTTCAAAATGGCAGACAGGAAGTAGGTATCGAGTTAATTTTTTTTCATCCACATCTGTATGCACTCATAAGTTATCCCTGAAAATTTGAAGGTGATATCTGTAGTGGTTTTGGAGAAAACTGCCGGACGTACGGACAGACGGACAGACAGACGGACAGACAGACAGACGGACGCGCCTAGGCCGACAATATGGCCCCACACTATGTGGTGGGGACATAAAAATGATAACAAAGATGACACAAGAGCTTTTCTTGAAAATAAGTACCCTGGTTCCTTTCATATAGCAGTACTAACTAGACTCTGAGCACAACAAATGATTGTACACTTATCTGATGCTCAGGTGAGACCAAAATGACCTCAAAGGTATACCACCACATACAAACATATTTGAAGAATGAAATATCCTTTGAGGAGCCTGTACTGGAAACGGAACAGGAGAAAAGATAGCTGTTATGTCAATACCAGAATATGTTAAGGCAGAATATGCCTTATCATGATCTAGGATGAGACTTTGTAACTAGTAACCAAACTCCGGAAACTTACAGTTCTAATTAACGATTTCCTGTTTAGTAACATTACATTCCAATGCAGAATTGTATTTTAAACACAAGCACATATAGTTCAGAGGATTTCCTTATTAGTGTACTTGAAGGCCATTGATTATAATTGATTATTTTTTAATCCCTGCATTGCAGCTTTGTGGTACCTAACAAATCCTGCCACATGGGATTGAACAATCTGACGAGGCACCAGCTAAAATAGATCAAGGCTATTGAGAAACATCCTTCTGTATGCTTCTTTATTCATTTATGCTAAAAGTGGAAACCCTTGGACCAAGGATGATTGAGAACAACCCTCTGTTGAAAATTATAAGATACCATGTAAAAAATCTGTTGTCACCCTGTCAAAATAGTGAAATACAGTTGTCTATCAAAGCCAGATTAGTGTTTGTATATACGGCGGCAGCTTGGTGACAAGCTTGAAAGAATCTATTTAGTTTTTCTTGCTTGTAAAGGGATTGAATAGATATTTTGACCAAAACAGGGAAAATTTGAATTTAGCATGGTGAGGAGATCATAGAGAGATCACTGAAAACGAAATATCATAAAAGGCATTAACATGCAAAATGTCACCACCTGCCATTTATTACATCGGTGGCATATCAATTTTATGCATCTAAAACTAGATAACAATCACAGAGCTGATGAATGGCCATGGCATTTATACGATAAGTCAATGTTTTATATAGTGCAGCTGGAAAATATATATACTTAGAAATGCCCACACTAGGAGTTTTTCAAATGAATTTTTTTTGGCGTGATATTTCAAGATTTTCAAAGTTTCTAGTGCATATTGTAGGTTTTAAAGATTTTTCACAGTAACATTTTAGGATTTTAGTAATTTAATGGATGAAAATTAGGAAAAGTACAGTGCCACGGTAAGATGACTCCAGTTTACGATTTGTTAAATAAAGGAGTCACTTAAAATCCAACTTCTATATTTCCCAGGGGACACAACCTTAACCTCTCTCTAAGATGGATTATTTCCCAGGTGGCACTGGAAAATATATGAAGCATATAAAATCTACTTTGAACATTTTTAGAAACAAGACTTTTTTATTGAAATGGGAAAGATATGCTGTTCATCCAATTCGTTATTTGGCCAACCTCAAAAAGGTTTTTAGATTCCAACCTCTTCATATATGCAACTAATGTTTCTACTTTTTCTATAAATATCAATTATCCAAGGTGAGAGTATTGAATAATGATTCCAATTTTTTGTTGTTAATAAACCTGGCATTGAAACACAGTACACATATTGTTTCAAATCCAAATAATACCAAATGCCTATAAGTATCTTGCAAAATAACATCCCTTAATCTCCTCTTGCTGTTCTACTGCGTGGACGTCTGAGTTGAGAATATTGAAGTAATAGTTACTGTAACTTTAAGCAAAGGAAAAAAACTATTAGTAATGATTTATCAATGCAACTTTAAGCAAAGGAAAAAAACTATTAGTTATGATTTATCACTGCAACTTTAAACAAGGGAAAAAACTATTAGTTATGATTTATCAATGCAACTTTAAGTAAGGGAGGGCTATTAGTTGTGCTTTATCAGGGTAGGTCATAAACTTAAACAACAATATCAGATAAGTGACTGCACTTGAAGTTCCTTGTTTAGATTAAACATACTTTGTACTGGATATATCTCTCATTGAGTATAAGAAAGAAGTGTCATTTTTTAGATTTTTGAGTTAAATGCTTTGGGTAATAGAGGGGGATGGGGTTGTCCAGACTGAAAGGGTAGAGTACAATAGTGTAGTTTTCAAGGTAATGCTTTGGGGAATGGGAAGAGGGGGAGGGGGAGGTGTTACAGACTGAGTGAGTTTGATTGCCGAATGTTATAAAGGACGTTTGACTTGTTTCCTTATAACAAAGATACAAGGCAATTTAATACTTTGCCGATGGTCTTACATAGTAGAAGCCCATGGTCTTGTATGAAGAGGAAAACTTACAACAAGACCACATGCTCAATATTTCAGAGCAGAATGATATATGACAGAAATCTAGGTTTGTTAGACAAAAGAAATAAATTAAGAAAAAAATTGTGAAAATGTGTTTTCATGGCAGGTGTTTCATAAAGACAGGTGTTGACTAACATAAATAAAAAATGACTCAATGTTAGCTCATATTAACGAACTCCAAAATCAAGTTTGTTGTATATCCATCACATCAGATGCCTTTACACAGAGAAGTACAGAAAACCTGTATATCAGAACACCTCTCTAATCTCACCACCTCAATGTGAACACTTTTCGGTCCATCTTTACATCATGTTATAACACTTTCATGTACAAGCATAAACTCCATATTATATTCCTCTTAAAAATGAGTGGCTTAAGCTTTCCATTGTTGTCACATATATGCCGCTTGACATAGTTATTAATATGTATCACAAACATACCTTTGGTGAGAATGTTCTGAATATTCCTTCATAAACTGTTCCATTTTTCACTTGTACTTGGACATTGCATCCCTGGAAAATAACAAGAAAATTCAAATAAATCTAAATTACATGTACATTGTACATAAAATACAAAATAAATCGAAATTGCATAACATTCAACAAACCATAGAGTTCACAGGATTTTTTTCAAGTGGGTGCAAAATTCTAATTTTCACAATTCAGACAAAAATTGGTCCAAATATGCTCATTTTTCATGATTTTCCTCATTTTAAAGTGGGTACAAATGGATTTTCAGGTGGGTGCAAGGCTGTTTTGAAAATCTCAGGTGGGTGCTGCGCCCACTTGCTTTAATGCTGGGGAGATCACTAAACCATGTGTTTATAAGTAAGATAAAACAACTGAATGTTTTTAGTGTACAGATTTTCACGGGGTATTGCTTTGCATTGGCAGACTTGTTATGCAAGATTCAACAATATTGAACAAGGCATTAATATGCAAAATGTCACCACCTGCCATTTGTTATAGAGACTGACTGCCAGCTGCTGTTACAGACACTGAACACCAGGGACAAAAAATATGTCACCACTTCTGGTGGTGACAAAACCTTGAAATATGAACACCTGCTAATCTGAACACTTTATGCCAGTCCCAATAGTATTCAGATTAGACAGGTTTTACTAAGTATGTTTTCTAATAGCCATGCCCTAGACTGAGAAAATGAAATCCTTGCAATGTTTACCATTCTTAATCCTATCATGATACAATTTTAGCATAACATACAATACATCCTATGAATAGCATGAAACTGAATGCATGGCCGATTATTGATTATCTCTAATCCAGTGATATCAAATCTTCTTGTCACTTTACTTACATTATCAATCATATAATCCATTTTTCACAAAATAATGAGTTTGCATTAGCGTTAACGGACTCTACTTAGAATTCATTAAGAAACTTACATTGTACTCATAAGTACAAAATTCTTCCTATAATGTTGAGACAATCATTTGAACAATTCCAGAGTTATATGAGTTTTATACCATCTCGCCATTTTGTTCAAATGCTTAAAATTTATCAAATTCGTAAATTACAATCTATACAAATTTGTCTACTTAAGACAGTGCTTGATATCTCTTTCTCTATGCTAATTATGTTTCGAAGTATTTTGGGCACTTACAATGAATAAGTTAACAAATACTCTGAGATAGAGCCCAGTATTGTACCTTCTAAAACTAGACAATGCTGTTCTTTATAGAGAGTATTCATTGACATGTAAGTCAATGGGACTTTTCTATCAAGGGATGTGTTCCTTATAGCAAGCAAGTCGCTCCATAAGACGAGTTTCACTGTTTGTGTATATTTAATTGGGCTATTGTTGTAGTAGGTACATATCAGATTCATAAATATTGAGATCATTATTTTGACATCATTCTGTACGATTTGTGAAAATTTAAAATTTTTACTTCCTCTTCCAAACAAAATCAAATTACATGTAGATCATATGGGTGTTTGGCGACATTTTAAAGTTTTTCTTTAAAAGGAATTCAGTTTATGATAGACATTTTGAGAAAAGGTCGAGGGCATATTTGGTGAAAAACTCAAAAGAGTTGTATGCGGGAATTACCTACAACTTTGGAACATCCTAGAACTCCAAGAGAATAGTCTCTTATCAACTTAGACACTCTATCATGAGCCGTAATGATTTTTGATCAGTTATAATACAGAATTAGATATACAGTTCTCAACAAATGGGCTCTTGACCTTTTAGACACAGATATTTTTTGCTTTAGCTAATTGTTTTTTGTTATCAAGTGTTTCTCTTATGACAAGTTATTGTAAATTGATATGTCATTCATCCATAAAAATAAATAGATCAATGTCTGTCTTTCACTAAGCAACTGCCTATTGTTTCATAAATATTTGTTAAATCCATATCAACTTATGCCTACGGAGATGTCCAGATGCAAATAAGTGGACTATCACGACAATATAGCATTTTCATGAAAAGTGTGATAAATACAGAATATCACATCATTTTGAGTGATATCATTTTTATCGCCAAGTTGATATCAAATATCAACACGAGTGAGCGAAGCGAATGAGTGTTGATATTTGATATCTACGAGGCGATAAAATGATATCACGAGAAATTGTGTGATATTGGGTTTATCCCATGATTACAATCACATTTTAATAATAAAATATAATAAAATATAACAACAGAATAAATTATCTGACCTAATTTCCAACAATATTTTGGCGCGAAATGCAAATGTGATATCACACGGATATGCGTGAGATAAACGATATCACACGCATATGAGTTTGATAAACGATTTTCTGGAAAATATCACACGGATTTCAATAATATCAGAAATATCAATAGCTGTTATTGTACAGATAACACATTAATCGTGGGATAAAAAAGTATATAGGACTCAAAATTCATCTTAACACTATAGCATCTAAGATAGGGAGACATATTGCACAATGTGTGATTTATTTATGTGTAAGGTGCCCCCCCCCTCAAAAAAAACAGAACAACGGCAACGCCAAATTGTAGCGAATCCCATCGAAAAGAAATGGCTGGCATTTTTACATTTGAATTATGGAGCAAAAATATCATAAAATAACACCCATAAGAAAGGCCACCATTTAGCATCTAAGATAGGGAGGCATATTGCACAATGTGTGATTTATGTGTAAGGTGCCTCCCCCCAAAAGATTTAAATCTCCTGTACTTACAATTAGGGCACTAGCTGAGTGTGTTAGCCTTGGATTGTTATACACTCCCTCTGTCTGCAACACATGAAATACAGGGTAATAAGAATAGGATGATATAACCTAGACACTAGAATAAAATATGATTTGCAGCAGGTAATAATATCTCTGAGCCTTCCTTTTAAAGAGTGATACTTGATCATTTCTTTTTGCCAAAAGTGACTCTCACTGAAGAAGTTATATGAAATATCTTAAATCTCCGGGAAAATATATATTTTAGAGGGGTAATATGCATTAGATGTCACATACATGTATATTCATCTAGTTTAATTAAGATTTTCATATTTAAGTCTCATATTTAATTTCTTAAGTTATAAATTCACCCTCATATATGTAATCATCTCGTACAATTTAGCATAAAACATGTGAAATCAATAATCATAAAAAGTTAACTTACAAATATTCCTTTATCCACATTTCCTCTCATCTTGCCACCTCTGAAAATACATTCGAGAAAAAATTACAACATATTTCCTATAAGTCAGAAAATTACCACATATTTCATACTCAATGTCAAGTATAAAGTATAATGTATAAATCAAAACCTGTCTCATAATAAACAGTTCACCTGTCCTCTGTTTACTCAATGATAAGAGAGAAAGATTATTCACTTTTTATAGACTGATTTTACGTAACGTGGGTAGCCGATTACATGATACAAGACAAACAACCTTTTAAAGCTCAGATTAAATGGAAGAGTCGACTGATATGCTAGAATTTGATGATACAATATTACACTAAAGATCACCTATCTAACTCAGATTTCAGTGATAATGAACAACAAAAAACACTCAATTTTTTTGAATAACTAGGGGGCTGCGTTACATGAAAGAACCTAAGCACAGATTAAGTTGTATACCTAACTGCTAGAATTTGATGAAATGATAAAGCAGTCTGAATCCTTATCTAATTGAGATTTCAGTGAAGATAAGCAATATATGTGTATATTAAGAAAATAACAAAAACACTCAAAAATGTCAGATCATGTCTTCAAAATAAATGCATGAGGTAATTGTGTAGTTTTGATTTCAAATATCACTTTCAAATCAATATCTATGATTTCATCGATGATTCGATATGAATAAGAAACACAAAATCTCCGACAGGGAAGTACTGTATATTATAAAATACAATGCTGAGAAAATACAGTAGAAATTTTATATATTTGAATACCTCCACAATCTGAATATCTCCCAATGTGAACAATTTTTGTTGGTTGTATTTTTAATCTACCACAGCCTTCCATGTTAAATAAAAAACCTTGAAATGTAAACACCGGTGAATTGAACACTTTAAGCACAATGGTGTTCAGATTTGACATGTTTTACTGTACATATTACCCCCAGGATGTTACCATACAACAAAGCACTCAATTTAAGTATTCAGTAAAAGTACTAAAGATGTTAACTCTACCAGGATTCATAAGTCTATATCCTGGTTTATGGCATACTGGCTCCAGGCCATGTTTATTTACATCAAGTACACTTCACTTTGTCAGGACCTGACTTCAAAAAGAATTTTGATAGAAAGAGTAGCATTGTCATTGTGTTGCTATTTCATGTGCTAGGGAGGATGGGGGGGTTTGATGAAAAATTGCTTTGATGAAAAATTGCTTTATGATATATGGCTGAATTTATAAATAAATATGAAAGTTAACAAAAATATTAGAACTTCCTGGCTGCAGTAACAGTTGCCTGTGCTTAGCATATACAAATACTTTCCTTGACTACTTTAACAAAATGTTTTCAATTTACAAAACAAAGTGTTCGACAAGAAGCCAAAAATTGAACTAAAACTTAGCAATTCTGTATTAAAGATGGGAGGAGAGTTGGAGGAACGGAAGAGTGAAACCTCATACCAAAATTAACTTCGTTATTCCAAAACTATTTAGATATCATCCCTTTGTATTAAAACAACGCTTACAACAGGATGATGGCACATCTAAACCATATCATGCTATTTGAGATAAAACATATTCTACTTCCTGGTACTTTATCTTTTTGTTTTCTTTAGGTAAAAAGTCAAGGTGACCTTGTAACATTTCTGTTCTCGAACCTCATGCCGATTATCTTGATTTATGCATTTTTTATATCTTCTCGTACTAATCATTTTCTGCGTTTATTACAATTTTAGTAACAGTGATCTCAGCGTTTTCTTTTTAAATAGGTGGCAAAATCCCAATTTTAAATATGCTTTTATGGCAGGGTATAAATAGATTTTCAACTGAATAACATGTAATTTTTGAATTTTCAACAACATTGGTTGCTGTAACACTCGGGGATCAAGAAAAGTGTAAATGACTTGTTGTGTTTTATTTTCAGTATACAGTGAAACCTGTATATCTGAACACCTCTAATCCAAACACCTCTCAATGTGAACACTGTTTTTCAGTCCATTTGTTATCTCCCATTAACTCACATATTTGAAAAACTTGAAATGTGAACACCTGCTAATCCGAACACTTCTGGCACGATCGGCATTCGGACTAGACAGGTTTTGCTGCAACAGAATGTCAAGGTGACATCCTTTCCTATTATTAGTTACCTCTGTTATCTCGCTGCCAAAGTGAACCAATCAGTTTTCCAACATTTTTAACAATTTAGAATATTAAATATGAAGGCCACATTTTGTTTTGTTTTCTGTATGTAATTGCTATTCTGCATTTTCAGTCAAGCTGACATCACGGCTATTCTTATCTGCTATTTCGCTATTAACTAATAACTACTTGATCTTCTGACATTTTTAAACAATTTAGAGTGTGACACATCCGTTTTTTCAGAAATTCTACTTAATTGTTCTCGATTTAGAATCTGAAACCATAACTATTAAGGAATGTTGATTTCTCAACAACAGCTTGACATGTGGCCAAAGTCAAATGTGCTGATTAGGAGGGGGGGGGGTTATATGATAGATGTAACAAGGCGTATAATGAACAATACTGCACCTCAAATCAAAATGACCACACTAACATATACCTACAGCATACGCAAAAACTAATTGATTCATTCTCATTTTTTGTGCTATTTCATATTCCTGAAAATTTAATTCAATCAAAACAGCATATTTTTCTAACACTTGTTATTTTTTATGTAAACTTTTTTGACATGGTCAACGTTACTTTACACCAGTTTTCCTTCTGCACACATATACCATACCATAAAAAACTATATTCTTTCCTTGATGAATAAATACCATAGATTTCATACCATACAAAAATATTTAACACTCTGTATTCTGCACATAATGTTACAGTACAAACTAGGCTTTCTTGAATTACCTTAGTGAGTTTAACTCCAGTGTTTAATCCTCGATATATCCTAATAACTGATAATCTAAATCTATTGTAGATTGTAGAAATCTCTCTGGATTATATAGGTCTCTTCCCTTTCTATAATTTAGCGTAATTTCGATGATTACATTGTGATGCACCAGAAATACCATAAGGCTTCTGCATGATCTTGCATTGACCTCACCAGGCTACCAATACCTCTCATAAGCAGCTTTTCCGATTAGGCACTAACAAAAATGCATCTAATTCAAGGGATCAGTGTCTTATTAGGAAACTATAGGAAAACATACCTATTTTCTGCCTTGTGTAAAACGTAACAACCCTTTTACAGATCCAGTGGGAATTCATCAATATTTTTCACTGCCTGGATATGCAATTGCAATTTTTTAAACCAGACAATAGAAGATGATAAAATAACTGTATGTGATCATATTGTACAATAATTTTCAATCATATATTTCTAAATTATACATAAACAGAAAATCTTGAGTATGTAAATATAATTCAGAAAGAGAACCTATAAATAACTAGAGTACCAGGCCTAGATGGATGCTGATACAGTAAAACATGCACAGTTGAACATATCTTTTAAGGTTTTATTGTACAATAGTTTTTAGGAAATCCTTAAGAACTGATGAGTATGATGAAAGAATAATCGAGAGAATAAGAACCCAATAAGGCAACTTTTTTCACTTCAAATATTCTGCCACGTGCCTGGTCTTTAGGTGTTGTAAACATTTGGGTTTTATGATATTAAGATGATTTCTAAATCCCAGGCCTTTTACAAGTGCTTAAAAAGATGTTTGACTGTATTAATTCCAAGGATAAGTGATGTGCAGTTTATTTATGGATTCACAATTCATCATGTATTTTCTCATTACACAAAATTGCAAACATGTTTAATTCAGACGAATTGTTTGTTTGGTAATTTACTGCATACACTGACAGTGCCATCTGAGAATGGTGGTTGAAACTAAAATATCAATACAAACAACTGAAGACATACTTGCAAAAAATGAAACAATCCAAATTAGAACTGAAAGCAAGGATTAAGGTAGTTCCACACTTTCAGATTAAATAAAAAAAAAGATTTATGGAATTGTCATCTCAACATAATTTGAACAAAATATTTCGATTTTAAATGTAGTATTCTTTAACAGTGAACAAAAATATCTATGTAAACAAGTTTCGGTTTGGAGAACAGTCAAAAGACATTTAAATCTACAAGATACAAAAAGATCAAAATTGTCTGAACCAGGCGTAACTTGCAGTAGACCGATTCAATAAAAGACAAGTCTCAATTTAGAGAAAGAAGTACATCACTATACTGTGTTTATATGGGTAAGTTCAATAAATACTGGTAATTATAATCATGAAAAGGATTGGTATTGATATGGAGAACTGAATTCAACAATGTTTTTCTCTTAAAACAATTATTGAAAACATTCTGTAAACAAACTCGGTCCTTTATGTAATGTTGACTGATTGACAACAATTTAATGCAAAAATAATTTATACATATTTTATATAACTGTTTTTGTTAACATTTTTTTGTTTTTTAGTGCAATTGTTTTTTGCTCCTTTTTACCATTTCTTGGCGAATGAAATAAAATACCTTTCTGAAGCTTGTTCGAACAAAATAGCATATACAACATTTTTTTAGACTTCCCAATATTATAGTTGTACAAAAAAAGTATTCAAAAAATCAAAACAAAAACCCTGAAATAGATAAAAACTAAGATAACCCTTTAATTTCATTAACAAGATACCTTTTTTAAATCAACCAAACTTTTTTTGTATAATTATATAATATTGAGACACATAAACACGGTGTGTTTATGTCATACCGTGTTTATGTCATTTAGTTCCAATGAGGTTCGGATAGATGTTTCATTTCATTCAAAACATATGACCAAGAACAAAAGAAGTGCCCGATGTGTTTTCTAAAACAATATAGAGAAAATAATAGATTTCTATATTTCAAATTATATTGTTACCATTCAAAATATGACTATTAAATTGACAATGTGTAAAATTTCAGAAGTTTTTGATGACTGGTTTATGAGAAATGTGTGTTCAAAAAGTTCGCCATATCGATACCCATCCTTTACTGAAAATATTCATCATGTGAAACAACCTTAAAAAATATAGAATTTAGAGCAGAAATAGTTTCTACATGTACTAGTACTGATGTACTTCAGAGGTTTATTAGGAATATGTCTACTTTTGTTAGAAGCTGCCACAGGTGTGCATATTATAAAAACAAATGATCCGGAATGAATCATGAACAATGACACAAAGCTATAAAATGTGATACTGCACTCATCATACTGCTGTAGCAATTGTACTAATAGAATAACAGAAATAGATCATCTATGCCATTTCTGAAATGTATTATACTTCATCTTGGTGTTTGTTTCTCAAAAAATATTATCAATTATAGTGCATACAAGACATTAACATGTTACAGATGCCAACCACCAAACACCAACCATCGAACACTATCCAGGCATTAGCAGCAGGCAACAGGTGATTTTAAATGGATGTTTTCCCGAAATTGCCTGTTGTTTTTAAAAAATTCAACTTTCCATGTTAAATTCATCATTTCAATTAACTTCTTTAGCTTTGAAAACATAGATCATGTAAAAAATGAAATTTAAATTAAGCACTAATGCTGCTTAGAATTTTTGAAGAATCTTTAAAAAAAGAAGTAAGTGGATAATTTGGTATGAAACCAACCTCCAAACACCAACTGCCAAACACCATACACAAAAAGTTGGAGGCTATTTAACAATATGTCACCACTTCTGGTAGTGACATAAAAACAGTGTACTGGTGACGGTCAATCTAGCTTTAGATGATGCAACAAAAGATACAAGGAATCACTATATGCATATTACAAAATTCATTTTGTATCAATAAATTTAGAAATCTGATGAAACAACTCACCATTTTGACATTTTGCTTCATCTCGCTATTTCGTCAGAATCCATTTTCTATTTTGTTGTGATAATTAAATATGTAGAGGCGTTAGAAGGTAAGCACAGATGTAATATAGAAATGAAAGGATGGATGGGTTTTATCATTTTTATTTCTAGACAAAAACAAAATACTGTAGTACAATGAAAAGAAATCATTTTTGTAAAACAGTGCAATATAAAGCTTAAGGCAAGGGGGTATAACTGAAATAACTTCTAGGGCACTAAAACTGTGTTGTTGCACGGTTCTTGGGTCTTAGTCGGTATGTACAACCAGACCTGTTGATCTGACCTAAGATCAAGTGATGAATCACATCTCGACATTGATTGGTTGAAATTTTCTTTGTTTATAAAACTTTCCCCTTACACCTCCCGCTTGAAAAGGGAATTTGTCATGTGACATTCTGCCAAACCTCTGACTTAGAGGACAGGGAGGCAATGTCTTCATGTAGGTCATTGTTGAACAAAGGAAGGCCTGCATTGAAAGTCCGACAATTAGCTACATGGACGACAATGCCTCCCTGTACTCTGAGGCAAGAATCTGGAAAAAAGTTAGCATCAATTTTGAATTCTTGTTTCTGATCCTCGGATAGATATAATGCATAACTATGTTTCAAAAAACATTTCTCATTCGTGGTTATTTGGCTTTCCAACGATGGATGCTGTCCCGATCGTGGAAAAGACAATATGCAGGTTGTGCAAAGTTGTTCTGATACATGAAAAGGGTACGCATAAAAACTGGAAAGATAAAAATAGTGAAACGAACCAAGAAATTAGGAAACCGTTAGACCCCTAGTAACTTCAACATATAGGATAACTATGACACCTTGTCATTCATTTGCTTTCTGATCTAGGTGGAAGCCATTTTATTCTCGCATGGATAAAGATCTCAAAGATACCCTATTTCTCATGTCATCATTACCTCACATGTCCACATTAGACTCCTTTGCCGTACAGGTTGAGACATGAGTGGATTACCGCCGAGTGGTCAGTTTACTTCCTGCGAAAGCTATGTGGATTTTGATATAATAGCTTTCCCACGGCGCACTTGGGCAGCTGAATAATAGTGACCCTTGAAACACGAATTAAGTCGATCAGCGGCCTATTTTTGGTCTAACTGTGTCTTCCATCAGTATCATCAATCCGTGCAAGTATTGGAGCGCTGAAATACTTCTTTTTCGATCAAGACTTGTAAATTGTTCATCGAGTGAATGTTTTTTCGACCCATTTCCAATATGGCGGTTTGCTAGGAGCGAGATAGGCAACGAACGAAATGAATTTTGAGAATGAGTTAGGTTCGGACAACCTCCGAAGATTTACGAAAAGGTCCGAGCAGAAACGCCATATTGGAATTTGGCAGAAAAAAACATTCACTCGACTAACAATTACAAGTCTTGATCGAAAAGGAAGTTCCTCAGCGCTCCAATACTTGAACGTATGACATAGTTAGAGAACAAAAGTAAGCCGCTGATCTACGCTGATCGACTTAATTAGTGTTTCAAATGTCACTATTATTTAGCTGTCCATTTCCCCGTTCGAGAGCCATAAGTTTCAAAATCTAACATGGCTCTCGAAGTGAGCAAGTCACAGTAACCTTATCGTATCCTACCGACAACTTTAGATTGTGGTCGTTCGTCCGATTCATTGGTAAGCCTGTCTACAATGTCAGAGAATGAACTACGCATTGCACTATTAAATGACCTACCTCGATACATTCCAGAGTATTTTAGAATTCTTTTTATGTTGTTAGATCGCCAATTGTATAGGTTTATCAGCAGAACGAAGAGATTTTAGTTTTTACATCGGAAATATGTCAGCAATTTTCAAAATGTTGGAAGGGGAATTCTGCCGATAAACCCATACAATTGGCGATCTAACAACATAAAAAGAATTCTAAAATACTCTAGAATGTATCGAGGTAGGTCATTTAATAGTGCAATGCGTAGTTCATTCTCCGACATTGTAGAAAGACAGGCTTACCAATGAATCGGGCGTACGACCACAATCTAGGGCGAAGGGGTGTAACGTCGACACCGTTTTGGGGTAACTTCGACATGTGGGGTAACTTCGACACCTAGTTGTTTATTTGCTCTAATTTCCGATCTAGGGGGAAGCCATGTTTTTTTTCTCGCATGGATCGAGATCTCCCGAGATTTTAATTTTTCCAGAAAGCAAACATGGCGGAAAACGGAAATTCTACTTCTAATACGTAAGTGTCGAAGTTACCCCGTCCATTATGTCGACATTACCCCACACGTCGACATTACACCCCTTCGCCCTAAAGGGGTCGTAGGATGCGATAAACAGTAACCCAAATGTAAGCCTACAGTATTTTACAAACATCATAGTTTCCTCATGATTGGAAAAGTCAATAGAAAAAATTTCAATTAAAGCATTGATTTTCTTACCTTGTGGTCCTTTGATTATTCCTTTTTGGTTTAGAATTCCCCGTGTTCATCTTTTTGTTTTTGTTGACCGATTTTCGATGTGAAATTCAGATTCGTGGCGTGTTTATCCGCTAATCAAGCCACCATTTCAGGACAGAAACTTGTCTGGATAGTCAGAGATTTGTCTCTGTGCTGTCTGTAAAATCACTAAAATTGGCTTTGCCAACTTATCGAGATATTCAACAAATTGATGGCCGATTGACCAAATTTGTAAAATTTTCCAGGTTTTGCCCAAGAATATTAATGGATGCTTTTGGCACTATTTTAATGATGTCATATTTTTAATTAAGCATTTTATATCAATAAATTACCATTAATGCTTTCAAATTAGTATGATTATGTGAACTAGTACAATACTATTCTAGTAAAAAGGGCTGATTTCCTACTCATGCTAATTAGGTCAGAGGATTATTTTTATTCTTAATTGAAGTCGTGATGAGGCAAAAAGGCGCCAACACTATCTAAATGTTCAACTTATGGAGAAAACGGATATGCATGTGGAAATGTAAATGTGAAATATATTTGAGGCCTGGAATTATTATTAATGATAAAACGTGGCATTTCTGTCCTGATCAAGTTCCAGTATGACTCCATTTACCATATCAAACGCAAGTAGTATTATAATGCCCATGGGGAACAGTCAAAGCCTGTCATGAATTATGGATATGCTTAATGTCACAGTTCGTTTGCAAATAAACTTTATAATAGTGGCCCTTGGTTCATTTCTCGTTACAGATTTTGATTGTGTGCTATCTTATTCTGCGTGTTTGACAGAGTTGTACACAACTGTCATAAAAGACTTTGGAGTGTACTTGTAGTCTTGTATTCTGTGCATCGTTGCACATAAAAATAACACCGGGCTCCTCCAAGAAGGGTTTTTTGGCTCTGCCTTTGAGCGTAACATAATAAAAAACATAAATATGCAAATGAAGTATTGATATCCAAAATATAGCGGTAACCAAAATACCATACAATACGAATCAGAGGTTGTATTTGAGTAATTGATTGCATGCTAGTTCAAGCCACTTTTAATTTGTTATTCTAGCGTTTGTTCCCTCAATACTTTAAAGTATTGAGGGAACAAAAAATTAGTTTCCATTTTAATGTTAAGACATGGAGTCCAAGGTTTAATTAATGACCAGCTGGCTTCCTTAATTTTTATGTGTAATTTCGTTTTGATCCAGTTGGTACTTTTCAGGTCACTAAATTCATTGCGCATGCGTCAAAATGACTTCCTGAAGAAACAAATCTTGAAATTTTCTACTAAATCGATGCTGTTTTTCGTGATCAAATGGATATAAAACAACATACCAGGCCAAGATATACAAAGTTAAGGTTATCATGGGTCATTATGACTCACATTTAGTGTATTCTCTATGTAAATTAGCGTATCTGTAACTCAAATATGATGTTGTAAATTTAAAAGGAAAAATGAACACTGATCACGGAAGTGAAATAATTTAGGACTACGCATAGATCTATCACTATGGCGAATGCTGCTCCTGAGAGAGATATAAACGGTTATGATGATAGTGTAAGTGCTGGACCAAGCTCTGCTTCAAATGGTGTTGCAAATGGAGTACCACAGGTTGATCGATATGGTTTTGTTGGCGGTGACCAGTATACAGATCCTAATGGGTAAGTTATAATAGATGTATCCTACAAGCCCGTAGCCAGAGGGGGTTTGATGGGTTTGACCAGGGGGGTTGGATGGGTTTGAAGAATCCCCCCCCCCCCAGGCAAAAATTATTTCAAAATCATGCCGTTTTTCACCATTCTGAGCACTTTTTAAGTGATTTTGGCCATATTTGGACCAAAATTGTCAGAAGTGAAACCCCCCCTGGAATTATTCCAAAAGTGAAACCCCCTTGGCAAATCCTGGCTACAGGCTTGCCCTTACTATATTTGCACATAGCCATCTTTAGATAGATGGCTATGCAAAACTAGGTATTCCCAGCCCATGTTAAAGGTCTTTTTCAGAAATGTTAGAAATCGTGGGAACACTTACACTACTTCAATCCCTATATAACATCATAACATACCGTTGTAATAATCGTAGAACGCTAACTTGAGTCAGAAGACAGTGTTATTGACGAAAAATGTTGAAAAATGTTGAAGAGATGATAATTTTCAAGATGGCTTCTCAGGAAGTTGGATAATGCGCATGCACTTCCATGCCATGAGATTTCCGCTTCCGGTTACATGCATGCGCATTGGCAAGACTTCCTGGTCAGACGACATGGAAAATAACAAGTTCCAAATATATTTTTCGTCAATTACACTGTCTCCCGACTCCAGTTAGCGTTCTACGATTATAACAACGATACTTTATGATGTTATACATCGATTGAAGTAGTGTAAGTGTTACCACGATTTCTAACATTTCTGAAAAAGACCTTTAAGATGGGCTGGGAATATCGAGGTTTGCAAAGCTATCTCTCAGGAGATAGCTTTGTGTAAACTAAGTAAGCTTGCCCCATCAATGTGGGGTCAATAATGTCAAGTGTCCAAAATTATGGCACATTAGAAAAAACAAATCGCCCCTACATTCATGTTTGTCATACACTAACAGTGTCAGCTTTGTTATGTCAACCATAAAAAAAAAAAAATTAAGGTCTTGGGGTAGTAATCAGAAATTTACACTAAACAGGAATAAAAAAACATGTGAATTCTGAATTTTTTGAACTGAGATATCAGAGTTCTGCATTGACCTTCAAGCAGTTTTACTACTCCCAGGCATATGTCATTTACATGACCAGGATCACAATGGTCATGGTCAGAATGACCCTGAACAATATGAAATAGATTTTCCAGCCCTCTTAAATTGTGACTGAAAAATACTTGAAAAAGAAAAGACATTGCATAGAATATTTTGAATTTTTCAGAAAATGTGCCTAATATATTACAGAACTTCGTTATCTTAGTTGAAAAAATCCAGAAATCACATGTTTTTTCATTTCCTGTTTGGTATAGATTTCTGATACCCCGAGACCTTAAGTGTCAGAACTAAGTATTTCCAGTAGTTTGGTGATACTTCAATATTTAATTCTTAAAGATACATGGACTTCTTCCTCCTCATCAATTGACTTTTTATTGTCTACTACCCAATCTTTATTCCTGTATACTACAGTAATGGTAAACTCTTCCTTCCCTCATCTCCTAGATTCACTTGTCCGCAAACAAGCGTAAATATTTGTTCATATTTAATCATTTTATTGCCAGACCTGGTTGACCAATACATGAACAAACTACATTTCGTGGCACTATCATTTATTTCGTGATGGGAACCAACATCTTCACTGACATCACCAGCAAGAAATGGAAAGTCAGAAAAAGTATTTAATACTTCTGTAACGACCCTGGATACCAAGTTGCCACTACAGCCCAGCTGTAGTGGCTTTAAAGCCTTTATAGCTCAGTTGGTAGAGTATCAGCCTTTGGATACACGGGTCTTAGGTTTAATTCCCACATGGAGCATTGCATTTAGCACACTTTCTGGCTTGTTACACAACACTCGTGAGTCAGTCATTCCCCTGTGGGGCCCCCTGGTCATTACACTTCTTTCTTTTAGACAATGTGCTTTAGCCTCATGGTTGACAAAATAAAGCTGATACAGTTATATGTATGCATGTTAACTAAATCCTGGAAGGAAGGTGATAGTCGCATTCATTAGCAAAATCTATTTTCTTAGATTTGATTGATGGGGAAAACCTTGAAATATATCCAGCGTTGAACCAAATTCTTAAAACTTCTAATAAATTAAAACAAGTACTGTTAAGACTGACTTCAATCTTTTTTCAAAATCATCTACAAGTTCTCAGAAGTTCAAATCTGACAATAGATTTGAGATTAACCTTCTCAAGGACATTGACCTTCTCAAGGTCAAAACAGGTGAAAGGTCAACTTGCTTCAAACCGACTAATTGTTTTCAAGATTACCTACAAGTTCTTAGAAGTTCAAATCTGACTTCGATTTGAACTCACAATATGTCACCGATAATCGAACATAGGAGGTTCTGGCACTCGGGGGAGTATAACACATAACTAGCATAAAATAGAATTTTTTGTTTATTTGATATTAATTTATAAAAGTTCCTTACTAAATAATTATGTTTGACACATTTTTCCAAAAGACCTTTGTTTAAAATAAAATAAGGCTTTATAGGTTTTACTTAGAATATGTTTACTATAAAATATGATTTTTTATTTGATTCTGATTGCGGATAACATTAACATGTCATTTATTAATCAATCTGATTGATAAGTAAGCTGAACTCAATTAGATCAATTACATAAATAATGAATGAAAGTGTAATCAAATCTGATTATTAATAAAACGCAGAGTGCCAATTTACCAGAACATGCTTTTTAATGTTAAACGGCAAATTAATATTTGTAGCCACGGGTTTGTTAAATAGTAATAATAAACAACTGTATTGTGTGAGTCATGATGATAATACTTATGGAAAGCAGGCCCGTAGCCAGGTTTTCCCAAAAGGGGGGGTTCACTTTTTAAAAAATTTGAGGGAGATTTACATTTGGCAATGCTGGCCTAAAAATGGCCAAAATCACTTGAAAATGCTCAGAATGGTGAAAAACATGAAAGAATTTTTGGCCATGATTGTGTATTATGTTGCCCCTTACTTTTGATATCAGTGACAATATAACATGTATAAGCTCAATATTTCAGGAATTCATATTCTAGATATATGATTGATATATATCTGAACTTTGATTGGTTGAAATTGAACTTTTAAGAAATATCACATTGTCAATCGTATGGCAGAGAGAACAAAATAGCAGCTACAACTCGAAATATATGGCAGAGGCCCGTAGTCAGCTTTTGCCAAGGAGTGTCTCTTTTTAAAAGATTCCAGGGAGCTCACATTTGACATCTTTGGCCCAAAAAATGGCCAAAATTACTGGAAAAGTGGTCAGAATGGTGAAAAACTGCATGATTTAGAAAGAATTTTTGGTTGCTCCTCCCGAATCCTCCCCCCTGCCTTTTGGCCTGAAGTGTACACGTAGTACATGTGGAGTGATGTAATACTATGTTTTGAACCAATCCTAGATTCTGTGATTCATTTTTGCTTTGATTGTTAAGTTTACTCAAGTTCATATTATGTTGACCCGTTATCTCCCACTTCTGCCTATGACATCCAGTTTAATCAAACAAGTTAATAAGACAAATATAAACATTAAGACACCAGAATCTAATATGCACATTGTCTGAGTGGTTTGAGTATAAGCGCCATGTCATTTTCAGAGTTATTGATTTTATTCATGATGTTTTATAGAATTTAGGGGCTCGATATTTAAAGATCTTATCAATTATCAAAACTGTCCAATCAGAAATGGTGACATATTGTTATACTAGTTGTCTCCAACTTTTTATCCCATCGGAGGGATATAGGGAACGCCTCCGTCTGTCCGTCTGTCCGTACGTATGTACGTCCGTCTGTCCGTACGTCCGTACGTCCGTCCGTCTGTCCGTCCGTCCAGGCAATAACTCAAATACCGTTGGCCTGATTTTGTTCATATTTTGTACACATATACCCTATGGGGGCAGAAGTTCTGCTCGAAAGCCGATTTTCAAAATGGCCGCTCATTTCAAAATGGCGGCCATTTTAGTGCCGAATTTACAGTAATTTAGGTGCAATATGTAAAATTGTAATATCAATATGTTTTAGATGTAAAAAAATTATATAGGACATTAATAAAGCTAGAAATGTAGATATTAAAGAAGCACATGGCAGCCATCTTGAAAAATGGCGGCCTTTACTCTTTATTTTACGATTTTTGCTGTAACTTGAAAAGTAGTGGAGCGATTTTGTTCATATATGGTATGTGATTACTATAAACATTGCACACTGTCTAAAGACACTTTTGGTAGAAGGTGGCCATTTTAAAAAATGGCCGCCATTTTAACCTATTTTACTATAACTCGAAAAGTAGTGAAACGATTTTGTTCATATTTGGTTTGTGAATACTATAAGCATGGCACACTGTCTAATGACACTTTTGGTAGAAGGCGGCCATTTTTCAAAATGGCCGCCATTTTAACGCATTTTACTATAACTCGAAAAGGAAAAGTAGTGGAGCAATTTTGTTCATATTTGGTATATAAATACTAAAAGCATGACACACTGTCCTATGACACTTTAAGTAGAAGGTGGCCATTTTGAAAAATATTTTGAAATATGGCCGCCATTTTAACGTATTTTATAATAATTCAAAAAGTAGTGAAGCAATTTTTTTCATATTTGGTATGTGAATACTATAAGTATGGCAAATGGTCTAATGACACTTTTGAAAAATGCCTGCCATTTTTGCTATATACTTTGTTTGTAAAAATGCCATCCATGGCTGTTCGATGGGATTCGCTACGCTTTGGCGTTGCTGTTGTTCTGGTTTGTGGATGATGTTCGGCAGTAAGTCATTTTGCTATGTTAATGCCATGTTAGTTGTTGTAGTTAGAGTGTCATGTGTTGATAGGGCCTCAGGGTGAATATATAGTAAAATGCATTTACAAAAGTTTTGCAATGTTGAAATTGACCTTTAATATCAGGAACCAGGGTTCTCACCAGGAAATTTTTAGACATCGGATTTTTTTGCGATATCGCGACTACTCCTCTTATG